GGCCGAATGATGTAGAGATTACTAAGATCAAGCCGCGAGTGCCCCTGTGGTACGCCCTTCTGTTTCTTCCGCCGATATGGTTTCTTCATCCCTAGGGACGATGCGCACTCCCCTGCTACGGAAGATAACGGAGGGGGGCAGGGAATATTGGCCGATGAAGAGGCCCCATTCCCCCTCAGAGGCGAGCTAGAGGTCGCCTCGTCTTCACCAGAATGACGCGCTCCCGCATCGGCACTCATTCTCTCCTCATCTACAGAAGTGCGGTAGTCGGCTGTATTTTCCATTTCGACCTCGAAAGCTTCGATCAGTCGCAGATCAACTCTAGGGGACGTCTCGTCCTCGTCAAAAGGCCAGTCTTCTTCGTCCAACAAAACTGTTAAGTCAAGGGGGGAGGGAGCGCTACGGCCGTTAGAGAACGGCATAACACCTACACCTATTCCTAAGGGCGGTTTTTCGGATCAAAGTGGCTTCCCTACAAACACTAGATCTAACCCCCTAGGAAGCAAAGTGTAAAGAAAAAAAGAAGAACAGGTAAGAATCTGACCTTTAACGATTTGAAGATCTGAAGGAAGAATTGATGAACACTTGAAGAAACCTCGGGAGCTTTCTCTCTCTAAAAATTTCAGCAGCAGTTCGACTCAAGCAAATGCAAAATGAGGGGAAGGCTTCGGAGAAAAGGGGTATTTATAAACACCCCCTCCAACGGTCACTACACGTGGCAACCTCCAATTGGCCACCTCAACGGCGCCTCCCCTAGAACCAATCAAACGCATGTCTTTCCACATTCCACCCATTAAGGCTACCGCTACGGCCCAACGGGCCCCGAAACTAGGGGTAGGCACCGGCCTACTCACTCAAACGCAAGAAGAAACTCGCTACGGCCCAATTTACCAAAGAAATCGCCGCATCAGCAAATTGCGCTACGGCCCCAAAGCAACCCCAAAGAACCGCTACGGCTATTCACGCACACATCGTTTGATGATGACCCTGGTATCGCGGCCTTAGTCCAAGGGTTCTCCCACAGGGTTACCTTGGACAGGTTCGCCTAAGGGTTGGACTCACGACTAACGCATGGGGTACCGTATCGGCTTGAGAACATCCTGACTCCCTTGTGCCTCAAAAGAACTCTTCGGCCAAAGGAGTGGGGGACTGGGGAACTGTATCGGTTACAGGAAAGGAAACAATATAAAACGAAGCGCAACGGCCTTAAATGCAAAGAGGGTGCGCTACGGCTCACCAATAAGCCACAATTCACCCCCAATAGCATTGCGGATCGCATCGGCTAAAGAGCCCAAAAATTTAAAAATCCAGAAACAAAATTCAGCGCGCAACGGCTACGCACACGGGGGGACTGCGTCAGCTCACCAAAGCAAGAATACACAAGTCAAAATGCTCCGGCCACATGACAAGATCAAAGGCATACATCGCATCGTCCTCGCGACATTTTTCACAAAGAGCGCATCGGCCCGCACCAAAGTTATGAATCCTCAAGCGCGCCCCATCTACAGCAAATGAGGAAACCGCTTCATCTAAAATCAAAGCAGAACCCCTTCGGCCACCAAGCACCTCGAAGCTCACGCAACGGCCGGCCAGAAAGGAACGAGTACTCCCTTCCGCTTCGGCTTCGCCTCAGCTCAGAGAGTGGGGGACTCCTGATAGAGTATATGGGCCTGGACCCCATGACCCACATACTCAAGTAAACGGCGACCAGAAGAACACCCACGTGGCCCCCTTCGGCCAGTGGGTCCGCATCGGCCAGAAACCAAACCGGCCCAGGAATCACGCATGGACTTCCGGGACCGCATCGGCCCATGGACCGCATCGGCCATGGGGCCGCATCGGCCATGAGACCGCATCGGCCAGAAGGCACCGCATCGGCCCGACTTCGTCCGGGCAGAATACATCTCTCTACTTTATTTACTAAGTATTGTACACAGCCCATTAGTGGCCCTATTTCGCCCAAAGAAGGCATGATTATTGTAATGGGCCTCCTAAGCCCATGGCTAGGAGCCCAAATCCACATTTTTACCTATAAATAGACCCCTTGGGGCTAGTTATAGGGGGTTGAGAAATACAATTACTCACTTTCTCTCTCTAGCTCTCACTTCTCTCTAGAATTAATACTCTATCAGATATATATGTAATTTATCATAATGTTCACACAACTAATGACTGAATTGGGTGTTTTGTTTTTAAATTTAAGAATATAATCAACGTCATACATCAAATTTTGCTTATTTCAAGTTAAGATTGTGCTGATTTTTTCAGAAGTCATAACTTCTTACTCGTAATGAGTTACGAGACCCATAATATATCAAATCGAAGGTATTTCAGAGCTCTATATTCTTGAACTTTCAGCGGGGTCGGCTGACCACCCTGACCCCCCCTTAGTTCCGCCTCTGCCTAACAGCTTGTATACCACAAAACTAAATCAAACAGTCGGCTTTTTACCAAACAGCTATCAGCCTACCACCTTTCTTTTTTAAGATCTTTTCAGTCACTAAAAGCTAACCGTTACTAAAAAGCTTAAAGATATCTTTTCAACTAGTCGTGTCAAACATACCCTAAATACTATGTAATAGTTAATTCTGTAGAAATTTATGAAATTGTGACTGAAGTAATTGGAATAGCTGATTCTATTTTACTGATTTATGAAAAAATCACTTCCCCCGTCTCTCTATTTTAAATTTAGAGTGGCGTGAATTTTAAAAAGGTATGGTTACGTGGTTAATAATCAAACATTTTTGGCAACCCGCCAACTTATTATGCTAATCAAACTCGTTGAATGAATCCGCTTTTGACAACCCGCTAATATAATCTATTAACTGCTAAATGCCAAACACGTCGATTGTGTTGATGATCAAAATTATGTGAGTTTGAATATAGGATTATATTAGCGCCTTAGCGGTTTGTGTAAATTGACTAGTAAAATCGTAGGTATTTGTTAAGTTTTAACTGAAAGTCTAACAAAAAACTACGAGCTTGGTGTGTTTCACAAAAAAACTGAAAGTCTGAAACGTCTAACAAAAAACTACGAGCTTGGTGTGTTTCAATTTTCGTGATAAATATTTACAATTTTGGTTGCATATTCAAAAAAACTAATGTTCTGGTTATTGTTATACTTTTCGTTGTGCAAATGTTTTGGTGTTCATTTAATCTATATATCTCCTTGACAATTCGTATGAAAAATACAGTTTTTTTTGTAATTTTATACTATAACGGACCCATAAAATCTGACTACATTTCATTTTTTATGATCTCAAAAAACTTTATTATTTTCATTTAAAGTAGTAAATGTGTGGTTTAAATTATTATTTCTCTGTATAAATCTCAATCTCACAATGTTTTACTTTATTCTTCTAAATAAAAGTATGGTTGAACCAAATCGGAAGGGAATACTGGAAAATTAATGACTTTTTTTTTTACTGACCGTGGGTATATATTTCTAAAAACTTTGTACGGCACATCAATTGGTAAAAAAATGATTCACTGTATGATTATGGTTTTCCGGAATTTCTCTAGTTCACCAAAAAAAACGTACCGAACAATTTATTTTAAAATATTTTACGTTCTTTGCATGGTCAATGTTATAACACATGAAATAATGTTGCCTTACATTTGATTGGTGTGTAAGTATATCATATCACTTTATTATGCTTAGTTTTTTTTTTCAATGATCAAAAAAAAAATGCTTAGTTTTTCCGCCCACATTAGATCGTTTTTGTTTGATTAAACAGTACGCAGTATTTAGCTAGTATTGTACGGTTGTGCATAAACTCTGGTTTAGGGAAGCCTGATCAACCGGAGCAACAAGGTTATGGGAGTGTTTGCAACTGCTTAAAAAAAAGCACTTCTCAGCTTTTTGCTTTAAAAAGCACTTATTTACCGAACACTACCAATTTTTATTTTTTCTCGGCTTGCGTGTGAAAAGTGCTTTTCCCCTTTCTATTACACAAAAAGCATTTATTTTACCAAACACTACCAACTTTTACTTTTCAAAATCACTTTTTTCTCAAACACTATCAACTTTTACTACTAATCACTTTTTCCTTACATCTCCAAAAGTGCTTTTTTTTAAGCAGAAGCAGTTGCAAACACTCCCTATATACTTGCCCGGCGGAGTTCGGCAGACTTTTCAGGTTTAAGAAAAGGAAAAGGGATCAAAGGTTATATTCTACTATTTTTCAATTCCTCACTTAAACCTCTGTACTAAAAAACATTATATAAGTATGTCTACTTTTAAAGTACAACCAACCAAGTCATTTGATCTGCTATAGCAGGTTATTTTTTAAAATTAAATTAGGAATATTGATTAATCTACAAAAATTCACATAAATTTAAATAAATAATCTAATAATAATATTAAAAAATGTTATAAATGTAAAAATAGATAAAATTTTAAAAATATTAGAATAAAAAATAGTAAAATAATAAAATTGAAAAAATAAAGTGAAAACAACAACATAAAAAATAAAAAATTTAAAAAATAGATGTAGAATATACAAAAAAATTAGAAATTAAGAAATATTGACTTTGATATTGTGAAAATTTTCACAATTTAAATAAATATATATATATATATATATATATATTTAAATTGTATATATTTATATATATATATATATATATATATATATTTCTTCAAATTATAACAGTTTTTTAGAGTTTTTAAATATTAAATGCCTGCTATTACAGGTCAAAAACATATTAAATGGTCAAGTTGATCAATTTTGTAAAGTAGGCGTACTTATATTATTATTCTTTTAATACAGGGACTTAAGTGACAAATTGGACATAGTAGAAAGGCTTATTTGAATCTTTTTCCTTAAGAAAAACATACAATGATTTATTAAGTACATACTCCCTCCGTTCTCTAATAGATAGGAGTATAGGCTTTGGCACAAGATTTAAGAAGAAATTAATAGGGGTAGAATAAAAGGTGTAGTGGGTTGTGTGTAAAAGAAAAAGTAAGAAAGAGAATGAAAAACAGGAAAAAGAATGGGGGTAAATGAGTATATTTATTGAAAAAACTTACCAAAAATGGAAAGAAAGACAACTAATAGAGAACATCCCAAAATGGAAAGAGGGACAAGTATTATAAAATGGAGGGAGATATATTTCACATCAAACCATGATAGGAGTAGAAATATTCATTGAGTTGATTGGGAAAAAACATAGGACTTGGAGAGAAAGCAAACAAACAATACACACCCTAAAGAACAAGACATCTCCCCAGTATGGATCGATCACTTTTTGCCACTTTTCTTCAGTCCAGCGCCTCCAAGTGGCCCCTTCCCCTTAGCTTTTTCCGCAAGCATCTTACGTGCCTGCACAAAATTATAGATACTTATACTATTTTGAACGGAAATGTAGGAATTAGGGGAAACCTGAAACGGGGAAACGTCAACATTTAATAGAAAAAACTGTTCGGAAGTTTCCAAAGAATTTCCGTAGAGTTTCCGAAATGGAAACATACTAATTCCATAGAGTATATGTGTTTCATAGAATGCAACAGCCAAAAAGAGGGGAATGCAATTGGCAGGAAAAAAAGACAAACCTTTTCTTCTTCCTTCCTTTTCTGAATGTTAGCTAGGTCAACCTGCAAGAGGTGAACCAAACAATCAGCAATTTTAGAACCAACACGCCAGCAAAATAACTTTGGAATTCAAACAGCACATGGTAAATGTATCTCATTTTCATTTATGGGAATTGAAGTTGGGTGATTCGGATTTCCAGTAATGAATATACAGAAAATAAATGGCAGGATTCACGTAAGAATAATATGTTCAAAGCAACAACTTAATTTACATTTACCATTTTGCTTGAGGTCTTAAAGGCACGATACAATGGTAAAAGGGAGACATGAATACAGGTGTGTGTGTGTATTAAAAATTTAAAAGGAAACTTTTATTCAGGGATAAGGAAAAAATGTACCGTTAAGCTCATGGCAAAGAATGCATAAACCCTTCATCTTCTGTTTTAATCAATTTAATACAAATATTGTAAAATTAGAGCAAATATACCCTTTAACTTTAACTATATACCAGAGTACATATAACATATATTATATATACCAGAGTACATATAACATATATAACAATGCAAGAACACAATAGGAATTTTCAGAGATGGCTGGGAGAGTTTTTAGAGCTAAAGAAACGTGTAATACGTCTGTGAGCTTGTGTATTTTGCAAAGCAGCTTGTGTATTCATAAGACTTCTTTATGAATCAATTTAACAGAAAATTGTAAAATTGAAACATAAATAACGTTGAACTATGTATCATAGAACATTTACACAACAGCTATTGAGCATAAGGTTAGTTCCAACTTTTAGGTTTGTGTTTAATTGTTCTATAAGAAATATAATGAGTATATTTGTTTGACATATAGTTCAGGGGCATACTAATCCTCAATTGAAAAGTCGGAATAACGAGGAATATAAAAGGAAAAGGAAGAGTGAAGCAAAATTGATGGATATGTGGTAAAACATGAACAAATAGAAATCACATTGAGAAGTATTGCACAAAATGGATGTGAGATCAAATTAAAGATCAGGGAGAACCAACTTCTAAAAAAATGCAATAGATAAGAAAAGGATGTGTCTTAGATAAACCGCTGATGGACTCTAACAAATTTTAAAGCAATAAATAAATTTATCAATAAATAAATTTATCAATATGTACAGACATTGTCTCCATACACACATTGATTTGCGTGCTGTCTTGCAAAAAAGACAAATTTTGGTTGCAACCAATTTCTTCTACACTAAGGAATTTTGTATGGGCACACAAACATTGTATAGACTTTTTTCCGACAACATTCTGGCAACTGTCAAACTTCATTTTTACTGATCCTAGAAGACGATGATGGTGATGAATACGAAAGATGGGAGATGATGAATAAGGTGAGGTAGATGCAAGTGGAAGATGGTGAAAATGGAGATGGAGTGAGAAAGATGATAATGATGATGGTGATGGTGGATGTGAAGGTGGTGAAAATGGGAGAGAAGTGAAAGAAGAAGAGCGAGTGGGGGAGATTTTTGTACGGAGAGAAAGGATGGAGAGAGGAGTAAAAGGGGCTTTATAAAGAGTGTCCATAGGTGTACAAATTTGTGTACATCTAGCATTATTGTTGAAATTTTTTACATTGTACCAGGAAGAACGACCGCATCATGAGCATTAAGTTAATAATAGGAGATGAGATCGTGTCAGTGGTAAGTGCCTATGCACCACAAGTGGGATTGGATGCATCTATCACTCAACAATTTTGGGAGGATCTTGAGGAGGTGGTGTGACGAGTGTCAAGGGGAGAGAAGCTGCTCATAGGAGGCGACCTCAACGGGCATGTGGGCCCGAGTCGTGATGGTTTTGAGAGTATCCATGGCGGACATGGTTTTGGCACTAGAAATGAAGTGGGGAAGAACATTTTGGATTTTGCCTCGACATATGAGTTGGTTGTGATGAACACTTGGTTCAAGAAAAGAGACTCTCACCTTGTGACCTATAGAAGTGGAGCTAATAGTACCCAAATTGACTACTTTTTAGTACGGATGACTTGGAGAACTAGCTACACCGATTGTAAGGTTATCCCAGGTGAGAGTGCTGTCACTCAACATAGGATGCTTGTGCTTGATTTTCAAGGTAAAAAGAGAAGAAGGGTTAAGGTACAAGGGAAGCCGAAGATAAAGTGGTGGAGGCTAGAGGGGAATCTCCAACAAACTTTTACGCAGAAAATGTTGGAGGAAGATGTATGGTCCTTTGATAATGACGCACATGTGGATGATGTGTGGTTATCAATGGAGTCCACCTTTAACAAAGTGGCGAAAGAGATACTTGGAGAATCTAAAGGAAGTCTACCACCAAAAAGGGACACATCTTGGTGGAATGATGAGGTGAAACAACTTTTAAGGATCAAAAGGGAATGGTATAAGAAATTGGGCAAAAGTTGGAGCGACGAGAACATAGAGGAGTACAAGGAGGCTAGAAGAAGAGCAAAGAAAGTTGTAAAGGAAGCAAGAGGAAAAGTGAACAACGAATTGTATGCAAAATTGGACTCTAAGGAAGGAGAAAAAGATATTTACATACTTGCTCGTCTTCGTGACCGTAGGACTCAAGATATAGGAAAAGTTAAGTGTGTGAAGGATGTCGATCAAAGAGTATTAATGGAGGACAGGGAGATAAAAGAGAGGTGGAGGTCTTACTTTGATACACTATTCAACGGGGACAAAGCGCAAGATATCAGTGATTCGACCATACCGGATTGTATAGTAAATCGTGATTTTGTGAGAAGGATCCAAACAACGGAAGTTAAGGAGGCTCCGAGGAAGATGGGGCAGAAGAAAGCAGTGGGTCCAGATGGCATACCGATCGAGACTTGGAGAAGTTTGGGAGAGAGAGGCGTCGAGTGGTTAACAAGTTTTTTCAACATGATTTGGAGAAACAACTAGATGCCGACAAGTTGGAGGAAGAGTACTTTAATCCCCTTATTCAAGAATAAAGGTGATGTAGAAGAATGTGCCAACTATCGAGGGATTAAGCTAATGAGTCACACCATGAAACTTTGGGAGCGAGTGATTGAGCAAAGACTTCGAAGAACTGTGAAGATTTCAGAGAATCAATTCGGTTTTACGCCTGGTCACTCAAACAACTAAGGCAATTCACCTTCTTCGGCAGCTTATGGAGAAGTATAGAGACACACACAAGGATCTGCATTTGGCGTTCATTGACTTAGAAAAGGCTTATGATAGGGTATCTCGAGAAGCTTTTATTGGGGTCGGCTTATGATAGGGTATGTATTTTCTTAAAGTGGAAACTTTAAGAAGTGGGGTGGTGCAATTATTAAAGTGGATACTCTAGGATATGTTAGCTTTTATTGATAATTTTGATAATTGCACCACCCCAACACATTCATCCTTGGATGTTGTTGTTGACCGTGATGATATAGCATATTGGGTGGTGTAATTATTAAGAAAATTGGATTAAGGTGGTTCATATTGAAGTGACAAAATAAGAATAAGATAAAAATGATTTAGAATTATACAAATTTATCAAATTTGATAATTGGCACGAGACAATTTCAATGGGACGGGTCAAAAGGGAAGAACGGGGTAATCTTAAAGAGTTGGAGGGACTATAAATTTGCAACCAAAGCACTGAAAAAGCACACCAAATACAAACAAAGTAAAATTAGGATGAATATCATTATCAAAGTTCAAGACTTCTAGCCAGGTCAATTACCTCGTCATACTCTACTTTGTCAGACTTCGGTTTCTTCAACGGCTTTGCCTTTCCACCTATGGGTTGTGGAAAATCATATAAGTAGATTCAAAAGGGAAACAAAACAAAACGAAATTCAACCCTAACGTTGCTTTACTCCTCTGATTAAACTGAACAATAAAGATGTCCTACGTACTAATAGTTACGCATAGTCGGCACAGAGGGTTTGACTTGACCAAAGATCACCCATTAGAGTCAGAATACAGTAATCAAATTATAAAATAAATAAAACTCATATATATAAATCATTAATATCTCTCATACTTCATCCTGTCAACTAAAACTAATTCAATCTCGCGTAAAAATAGTAATCATCAAGAAGATGAAGAAGTACCTTGCTTGGAGGACATGGTTGCTGAATGCTGATCTGATCGAGTGTTGAGAGAGAGATCAAGGACACCTTTGCCGCAGTCTAATTTTCTCTGGAACGAATTAGTTCTCCGGGGTGATAAATAGGGAGAATGAGAGCAATTTAGGGCCTGGGAGAATGTAGACCACTGCTTCTGCAAATTCTCTGGGTTTAATTAATGGGCCAGGGCCAGTTCTGCATATAGACTATATGAATTAAAAAACATACTCGTACGTATGTAAAATTCTATATCTTATGATTAATCAATTTAAATCATCGACGGCAAAAACTGAAAAAAGTGTAGCTTCCTTTCATTAAACAACTCATATGCAATACATCTATGTAACACCGATACGAGTACGCGGAAACGCGTACGGGGATACGACAAAACACAAAAAAGTAGGATACGGATACGGGGTCATATTTATAAATATTAAAAGTTATGGGGGTGTATTTATAAATATTAAAAGTTACAAGGTGTATTTATAAATATAAAAAATACAATTTTTAAAAAAAAAAAACAGACATATATTATCCCCTGACATCTACTCATTCATGACATAGAAGCATTTTAAATTTTCAAGATACGTAAAAATAAGTTCATATTTTATGTTATGTACACTAGTGCATCTCGAAATATAAATATAGTCAATAATTCATTAATTTAAAATGAGAAATAAGTCAAATAACTACATCTTTGAAATTAAAAGTGCAAGTACTCAAAGTTCTATAATAATGAAGATAGAAAACAATATTTTAAAAGTTCTAATACATATTTTCGTTGGAACTATTAGTTTCCAGGGATAACTAGAATTAGGGATAGGAGGATGGGTGGATTGGGAATAGACTCATTAGTTGTGTACCATATAAAAGCAAGGTAAAAATCATTTTTAGTTTTTCATTTTTTTTGAATTTTATTATGTAAATTTTGAGTGTTTTTTAAAATGTTTTTTTGGAAGATTTTTTTATAAAGTTGATACGGGTATCCGTCAGGATACGAGTATCCAAAATTTTAAAATAATTATCAAAAAAGTGGAAACTTTTAAAAATTACATATACGGCCCGGGAACGTACGCTACGAGTGTATATCCTAGAGTATCGGATACGAGAACGTTTCCGATACGCCGATACGGCACCCTAGTGAACTATATGTGCTTCATAGGTTAACACCCTTCTTTGGTCTGCATTAGGGCAATTAACGAGCTACGAGCCGAGCCCTAATATCCAAAGCTCGAGTTCGGCTTGATTCGGTAATAGTAATGTTCGAGTTCGAGCTCGAAGCTAAGCGAGCTTTACAAATGAGACTCATGTTCGGCTCGTTAAACATTTGATGTTCGAACTGAACGTTCGATAAGCTCAATAAATATGCTCGAATTTAAAAATATAAGTGATGCTTATTAATAAGCTCATGCTCAAATTATTTGGGTCGTTAATAATCATATTTAAATTTATAAAATCATATTAATTATATTTAATCTTTGACATATATATTTCAGAGTGTTCGGTCAGCTCGAGCTCGAACCAAGCCGAATTATACTACGTTCGAGCTATGCTTGATTACTTGTTCTAAATTAAACTCAGCTCCGGTTCAGGCGGATTTGAAAGCTCGTTAAGCCTGGCTTGTTAGGTTTGAAACCAAGCTTGAACTCAAATAGTTTGACAAAAACTTGCTTCATTAACAGACTAGTCTCCATAGCGATATAATGTTTTCTTGAAGAGTGGTAAAGCCTCTAGCGCGCTTAGACAATACATATCTAATCACCACCAATTTCATATAACATATCCGATAACACAATGTGCATGGTGCTCATGTGACATGATAGAAATAGACACATAAATATTACGTAGTACTATGTAGTAAGCGAATTATCTCACTACTCATTTGCATGATCTTATAGGTTTATGATAAGTGTTTATCCACAATTTCAAAAAGTATGTCTAGATATAGACATTGTTATTTACATTGTTGAGAAAAAATTACCAAAATTATATCCATTAAAACTGCGGAAAGACAGAGAAAGAAATGTCATTGATTTGTGTTTATATACTACCTCCGTCCCGAAAAGGTTCGCCGGATTGACTTTTCATGGTCAATAATGACAAACTTTGTACAATTATTTTAATTATTATATTTTTATATAATTTATAAATTTTATACTTTTATGAAAATGTTTTTAACAAAAGAATATATTAATATAATTTTTTATATTCAAAATAATTTCGTATTAAAAAATATCATTGGTCAAAGTTGTTGTCTAGATAATAGTACTCCGTATATATTTCTTTGACGTCACATGTATACCATGCAGTTTAGCTATAAACACTTTTAAAATTAATTTTACCGACCCCTTTGGTCAAGCAAAAGAGAAATGCTCCCTAACAAGTACGGAGTACTCCGTAACAACCATCTAACAAATGGCGGTTCTGATATTCCCAGTTCCCGCTCTCTAGTTATCAAAACCTTCTGCTGAGATCAATTTCTCAAAAACCAACAAGAAGAGTAAGTAAAGCCATAAGTTTGAGAAATGAAATTCAAAAAGCATTTGTTTCTGGTCTTCCTGATCGTAGTTCTGATAATCTGCTTGAAGAATCAGAACGCCGAAACCAACAGGAATCCTTCTTCATTTTCTTCGAATTTCGAGACGTTGAAGTCTTCGCAGGCTGGTAAAGAGTCGTTTCCAACTTCTCCATTCACATTCACAGACAACAAGATTGAAGTTCATGTGCTTCCGGAGAGTCTCAGATACGATTACTACGGCGAAACGTGCCCTCAGGCGGAGTACATTGTTCGATCCACCGTACGGACCCTCCACAGCACGCGACCTAGCATTGCTCCTCAACTTTTGAGGCTTGTTTTCCACGACTGCTTTGTTCAGGTCAATTTTCCAGCTCGCACTCCTCTTTGACCGAATCTGTTGGTGATTTGTATGAAATTCTGCTTGTTTCGATTTAAGCAATTCCTTGCCTGAATCTGTTATTTATTTATAATTAACAGTGAATTTCTCTTACTAAGACTCGTTTCTCCTTTCTCGCAGAGGTCATATTTGCTTATGTTTAGTTGTTTCAACATTCTAAACGACCATGAGTTTTCATAATAATTGAATAAATTTTGTTCAAAAGTTCTGCGGTGAGGAGCTAATCTTCATTTTTTCGACCAGTTATGAGTAAAATTTTGTAGGCTTTTCTCCTCAAAGAAATTTTATTCACTTCTTTGGGAAAATGTTCAACTCCAGTAACTGCGTGAGTACTCAGTGTTGAGAGTTGAGACTGACAATGATTGTCTTTGGTAGTATGATTCACACATGCTATAAGATTGATTTTCGCTATTAAAAAAACGATGTAATGATGTGAATATGTGATGCATCATCCTCTGTAGATTCTAATGTACGGAGTGCATACTTTGTAGTGACATGTTTAGATAATGAGTTGGTTCTAAAGTCTGCATATCTGTTTCGATGGTTCTGAATTGAAGTTAATTTGGGAATGATCGATGTTTGAATTAGGGCTGTGATGCCTCGGTTCTACTAGACCCAGCTAATGGAATTGAAAGTGAGAAGGAAGCAACTCCCAATTTGCTTTTAAAGGGTGATGATGTGATTGATGTCATCAAATCCAAGCTTGAAGAGACCTGCCCAGGAGTTGTTTCTTGTGCAGATATTATTGTTCTGGCTGCAAGGGAAAGTGTTATTCTGGTAAATAAGGAAATCTCTCATGAAAAACATTTAATTTCATCCTCAATTTGCATAGTAATAGTAATATAAATAATAATACCAATAATATGGATATCATAATAATAATAGTTATTACTATCATAATCATAATCATAATCATAATCACTGAATCTTTAAGTATTCCACCAGGTTGGTGGTCCATTCTACCCATTGACTACTGGAAGAAAGGATAGTTTCATTGCTTACCTTCAAATTGCTAATCAACTCCCAGCACCTACAGATGACCTTCCCAAGATACTTGACAAGTTCTCATCAAAAGGTTTCAAAGAATGGGAAGTGGTCAGTTTATTAGGTATAATAAAAACCTTTTTCATCTACGTAGTTTCTTACCTCTGCTCTCAGAAAATGCTTTTCGAAAGGAAGAAAAAAACTGCTAAGAAAAGTTGTTTTATATTGTTATTTTAGTGTTTGGTTTCCCCTAGAAAATGCAAAGAAAAATGGCACATGATTATATTTTAAAATGTTTTTCACATGCTTAAATTTCTTAGTCTTTTTATATTATACTTCTATTTATTTGATGTGAATAGAGAAAGAAAATCAGTTCGAACAAACATGAAAAGTAAATACGTGATATGGGCATTGAGTTTGAAATAATGTTGAAATGTTCTATTTTCTACCACATTTTATTTCCAAATTTCTTGTCTATTTTCTTTCCCTGACATGTTCCGATTTCCAAATGGGCCCTTACCGTAGAACTTATGTGATGCATCTATTGCATGCGGCACAGGGAGCCACAGCACAGGTGTGATCCATTGTCACTTCTTTAGCGACCGTCTTGGAGGAGCTAAAGACCCTGACCCTTCTCTAAATACCGAATTCCTCAATTATTTAAGGTCGAAATGCAACATTAGCCAAACAGCACCCTCACCAGCACAAGAGGAGCCAGTAATCAAGATGGACTACAAGGGACCTGGAAATGGTTTTGGTACAATATACTACCAAAGCCTTCTACAGAGCAAAGGGATACTCTTCTCCGATCAGCAATTGACAGAATCTGAAGAAACTGCAGAATGGGTTGAAGCATTTGCTTCGGACGCTAAATTGTTCCGCCTGAAGTTTTGCCGTTCAATGATGAAGCTTTCCACTCTTGGAGTCTTGAATGCAACTCAGGGTAAGGTTCGCCTGAATTGCAGAAGGGTTGCTTGAAGATGCTGGATAAGAAGTTTGGTTCTTCTTCCTTTGAGTTGGTATCAAATACTTTGATTACCTTCCTATCTTCCTTTGAGTTGGTATTAAATACATTCCTACTTGTTGATAATTTTATACATAAAATGTCCACACTATTCCCTCACCATTTCTTGTTCTCTCCATTTACGTTCAAGGCATAGATGTAACCATGTAACGTGATAAACTCATTCAGATGTATACTTGCATTATGGAACAATACAAAAAATAGACGTTCACACCCTCAAAAAAAATGTTCACTGCCAATTTT